GCTAGAGCCAGTCTGCGTTCTGGGGTGGGAGGGGGCGTGTCGGTGCCATTCATGTCAATGGCACTGCAGACGCCCCCGCCTGCAGTGCGATCAACCACACCGGAACGTGAGGTACAGGGGTGCATGCTCTCTTCCAGTGCAGTGTGATAAAAAATAGTGCATGCAGCATTTTTTCTGGACACTCCTGTACTTTGCGTTCCGGTGTGGTCGATCGCACTGGGGGTGTGTCTGACATGAATGGCACCAACACGCCCCCTCCCTCCCCAGAACTCGGCCCGGCTTCATGTATGCGATCCAGTGCGTTCTGGGCACGAACTGCACCGGGACGCACTGGATATGGTGTGACTGGGCACTTAAGGACTTGCCATAAATGATGCCTCTTGATCCGATCATCTTCTTCTTTCCAGTTGTTTTCAGGAGTCCCACCTGTGCTGGTGCTGGTCTCTGCTACAGCCCTGACTGCTGCGTCATCGGTGTCCCACGGTGACTGCCAGCTGCTGCATTGAATTGCACTGAGTCTCTGGCCCAATATCTCTGCTGTGCATGAGCCTGCCCCATGATCCTTCGCCGCTGCTTGAGAATCTTCAGATGGGAGCGAGTGGCTGTGACACAGGTAAGTTTTTACCTATTTGGTAACTTTTTTTATTTTTTGTCAATGTTTTTGCGTATAGCTACTACTTGCTAGCAGTAGCTATATGCAAAAAACCCTGAAGGTTTAATTGTACTTTAAACCTTAAAAATACATTCAAGTATCCTATCAACAAAAATGTATCTTATTTGTATATCACTCGGCTGTAGTTTCTCAAATCATCTTTGATTTGATGCTGACACCGTCCTTCCTTCTGGAGTGTGGCTACTTTTGTTCCCCATGGTCCCTGTGTGTTGTGAAGTAGCCACCACTCCAAGCTCGCTCCTGTGATGGACTACAATCTCATGTTTTAGTTTACTAATTTCTATTGAGATTCTAGTCTATCACGGTTGTGAGCTTGGAGTGGTGGCTACTTTACAACACACACAGGGACCATGGGGAACAAAAGTAGTCACCCTCCAGAAGGAGGGACAGTGTCGGCACCAATTTAGAGATGATTTGAGGATCTACAGCCGAGTGATACACAAATAAAGGTGCCCACACACCTTACGATAATCGTAGGATAATCGCTGATAATCCCGCGATCGTACGATTATCGTAAGGTGTGTGGGAGCCGTGCGACCTCTGCTACTGTAAGGTCGCACGACTTTTATCTTAAAAACATCTTCAAAAACCTGCCGAGAATCGTATTATTTTCGGCAGTTGTGTAGCATGTTCGTAAGATAAAAGCCATACGGGCCGGTGTGCGCAAGCGCACACTGCCAGTTCAGCATTGCGGTCATCGCAAGTACGATCTGCCTGTCCAAGATGGGCAGATCGTACGTTTTATTAATTACCTTACAACCATCGCAAGACAAACGTCTTGCGATGGTTGTAAGGTGTGTGCCCAGCATAAGATACATATTTGTTAATAGTTAAGGTACTTGAATGTATTTTTAGGGTTTAACTCCTGAGTTTAGTGTCATTTTAAAGAACATGCAACATATGTTTTCTTCTCAGGAGAGTCTTCAATTATGCAATATGCTTGCAGTTGGGGAAAAAAAAAAAGTCCAATGGGGACAAATCCATGGACAGCGCAATTGGACTATAAAAAGCAGACAAGTTCCTACCAACTTCTAAGCAGGCTGGCAGGCTCCTGCTAGTTGTCATGTGGGGGACGCTGTCCTCTATTGGGGCCCTCTATTGGGGCTCTTGCAAAACTGGAGGCTATCAAGAGATGGACTTTTGTTCTGTATGGTCCATTTAATTGCCAAGTTGGTGATTATAAGTGCAGTGAATTTATTCTCATTTACTAGTAGATGTTATTGCGTGCAAATTCCAGTGCCTTGGTCTATGTTTTTATTTTCTGTACAAAGTATTTCCTGGGATATCTAGTTTACAAGGTTTGCTTTATCACTGTTTAATTTTTTCCCTGACTAGAACAGATCCTACTGACCATGTCCTTGTGTGTGCTTTCAGCCTGCAAAACCTGCTACAGTTGTTGCTATGATAAGCCAGCAGCAGCTCATGGGCTGCACCCTTAGTCGGGTTCACATGGGCTTCAGGTTGTATAAGAGCAGTGTGAATACCGCATTTATGGCAAGTTTTGGCAAAGGATTTTTCAAGCTTTCCACAAGCTTTGAGCAGCTTTCATTACGTCTTTAAAGCACCCTTCATGTCCAGTTTGAGAATGTTAACCAGTTGACATCCGCGGTGTTAAACCCCCTTCCCATCACATCGCATCCTGTTCGGAGCAGTACAGATTGGATGTCACTTCTATGACATCCATGTCCGTCCAGTTTTTTTCTCCATCGCAAGAAAGCGGAGTGACTGGACCCCATGTCGGCCTATGTGGAATCGGATGTAAACGGACATGTAAGTGTTTACATCAGATTACCACAAATCTGGCGAAAAACTAAACACTGTTCCGTTGGTTTTTCCAGACCTGGCTGGAGTCGGGGGTAACCAGGTTTTCACCGGCTACTTCACCGGCTACTTGCTTGTTCCAGGACAACCTGAAAATGCCACTTTCATGAATCGGGTTGACAATAGCAGAACCCATATTTCTATCCTCCGAGTTCCGTGATCTACAAAATGGGTGGCTGTTGCATTTTTTGTTTATGTATTCTGTTTGTGCTGTACATTCTGCTCCATTCGAGCGCATGACTGGTGCCACCTTCAGATCTTTCTTATTTACTATGCACCTAAACTGTCCAAATACGTAAAAAGGGCTTCAGCGCTGTACTAGCCTGTGAAGGTTTGGCTCCATGTTTAGGGTCATTGTCCTGCTGGAAGAATAACTTTCACCCCAGTCCCAGAAATAGTTTTTTCTTTGGATTTGCCATGAATTTGGCACCATACACTTGTTTTTAGACCAGTTTGCCAGTCTCTGGTAATGAAAGGTATCCCCCACAGCATGATTTTGCCACTACTGCGTTTCACTTTGGGGATGGTTTTCTGTTGCAGGGTTAGTGTATTGCTGATTTTTTTTTTTTTTTTCTTTCGGCAATGATTTTCTTGTCACAGCTTCATAAACACCTATCTTAGTGTAATGTCAGGTTATAGCCATCTCATGAATCTTTTCTTCCATCTTTGCTGTGGATTTTGATCTTTTCAGCTCCTTCTGTATTATCATTGGTCTTTTGGTTTCATCTCTGACTGGTATCTCATTGGTTGGTCACTAAAACTCGGTGGATGGCCTCCCTTTTTTTTTTTTTCATTACTTTTTTTTTTTTTCCCCCCCATCTAATTGGTTGGTCAAATTTATTTATTTTTTCTTCATGACAAAACACCAAAAAGTGCTCCTCCATCCCTTACCATACTTCTCTAATGCATATATAAATACATTGGATATACAAATCCACACACCCCTGTAAAATGCCAGTTTTTTTGAGATGTTAAGGAATCGGACAAAGATAAATCACTTCCACCTTTTAATGTGACCTATAATCTGTGCAATTCAATGAAAACAAAGTGAAATCTTTAAATGGTGGAAAAAAATAATCCTAATCATAATAATGTGGTCATATATATGTGCACACCCTCAAACTAATGTCTTGTTGAAGCTCCTTTTGAGTTTATGCCAACATTCAGTCTTTTGGGGTAGAAGTCTATTAGCATGGCACATCTTGCTTTAGATCTGGGCACTGCCTGGGCCGTTCCAAAACTTTGATCTTCTTCAGGGGAAGCCATTCTTGTGTTGATTTGGATATGGGTTTTTTTGTGTCGTTGTCATGCTGAAATGTGTAATTCCTCCTCCTCATCCACTTTTTAGCAAAAGCCTGAAGGTTTTGTGCCAAAATTGACTGATATTAGAAACTGTTCATACGTCCCTCCACCTTGACCAATGCCCCAGTTCCAGGTGAAGAAAACTGCCCAAAGCATAATGCTGCCACCACCATGCTTCATGTGGATATGGTCGTCTTTTGGTGATGCACAGTGTTTTTACATACGCTGCTGATGGTTTCAGTGAAAATCATCCCTTGGTGGCAACTAGCAGGGCCAGAGTCAGGCATAACTTGAGTGCTGGACCTTCTAAAATTAACCCTTTGGTTTTTACAGGAATCTAATTGGTCTGGGATCTTGTGGCTATTTTTGTTTGTGCCTGCCCACTTCCCTCAACCTGTAAGTGATATGTATGAACTGTTGAAAAAGATGAGCTCTGATGATGCAGTGCTTTCCAGTATGGAGTATGTTGTCTGCATGATGTAGTGGAGGGAGTATGGTAACTTTTATTACAAATCATATCAAAAGCATAATCTTCTGCAAATATTTTGGAAGATCTGTTTGTCATGGGTAAATGCTACAATGTAATTTGCTCCGGATCTTTCCAAAGTGCCTTTCCATAGTTTGCCATAGTACCCTGGCAACTAGCATGTGTCCAGCCTCAATTCACCAGTCTGGGCATGGACGCAAACCAGAGAAGTACAAATGCTTGGGGGTAATGGCCTACAGCTAGCTCTTTCATTAGTGTCTATTGATTATGATTTGCAGGGGTTTCTAAAGGTCAGATGTATGGGCATCCTCTAAACCGAAGACCCATTTAATGATGAGCTACGCGATGAGTAAATATGAGATGCTTGTGTATTCTTATTTGAATCTTCACATGTTTTGCGTGTTTCTTGCAGATATGTGCAGTAGCGCAGCATGAAACTTTGCATCTGTGCGGAAGCTTCTTATAATATAGACCGGTCACTGTTGCTCTCTTTCTTTGTGTAGGGTGACTGGTTTTGTATCTGAATGAAGAAATAATGTCACCAGCACACCATAGTAGTAATTAAGCAATAGTCCATTTAATTACACATTGCCATTCAATGCAAGCGCTTTTGGGGCCTCAGGGGGTCCCCTTCTTCAGGCTCAGAATGGGGTCTCCCTGATGAAGGGGACCCCCTAAAGGCCCCGAAAGCTGATGCCGAGCCCGGGATCAGCATGGCGCCTGTGAGCAGATCTCTGCTTCATCTGCTTCTTTTGGGGGGTCCTAGGTGACATTAGGGGTCTTAGAGACCCCTGATGTCTCCATAAAGAGGACCCGTCACATATTATGCTGTCACATAGGGGGGGTTTTATTAGCCCCTGTATGTGATGGCAATAAAGTTTAGTGAAAAAAAAAAGAAAAAAAAATTTAAAACATGCAAAAAAGATTGCGCCCATTACACTGCACATGTTACATATCGCCGCGAACGTCGGAGTGTGAGCAATAATTCTAGGGCCATTAATCACTGATGACGCTAAACTGATAAGCGGTAAAAGCTTTTAAAGTGTCGCGCAATTTTAAAGCTTGACATGTTTGGGGTCTATTTACCCGACGTGACCCCGACTTTTTTATATTTTACCAAAAAACTGGGTAATAATAAATGTTTCCTAACATAATGTTAAAAAATAAGTTTTTTTCTCCAAATGTTCAGTAATTTTTCCTAATTATAGTAAAAAAAATAAAACCCGCAGTGATGATTAAATACCATCAAAAGAAAGCTCTATCTGTCCCCAAAAAATGGTATACAATTCATTTCAGTACAGCGTTGCATGACTAATAAATGTCAGTCAAAGTACCTCAGCGCTGAATACTTAAAAATGGCCTGGCCAGGAAGGGGGTCTGAACACCTGGTCTTCAAGCAGTTAAAGAACACAAGTGGATTTATATCCTTTGTGGTTATTGAGGCTAATGCATAACTGCTTTATCCTTTACACCTTTTGTCCTTTAAACTTTACTTTAAATATATAGAGATAATATAATGGTGTTGCATATCTTAGCCATTTGCTTATTTTGTAATGTCCACATTTGTGTCTTTTTTACTTTTTCCCCAGGTCTAGTTTGGAAAAATGCCAGCTGAACGTAAGAAGCTGTCAAGCATGGAGGAGAGAGATTCTGTTAAAGACTCTAGTGAGAAAAGGCCAACAAGTAGCAGAGAGAGAGTCAAAGATGAGAAGTCAGGCAGCAAAAGAGACCAATCAAAGGTCACTGAGGAGAAGAAAAAGAAACCCGATGATGAACGACGCAAGAAAGAGGATAAGGATGTTAGAAAGAAAGAGGATGCTATAGCGAAAATTGAGGAAGAAGAAAAGCAAGTGCAAGATGAAGAGAAGAAGGCGGCTGATGATCAAGAAGCTGCTGCAAACCAGTTAAAGTAAGACATGTTTCTTGTTAATGATTTATTTTGAGCCGTGTCTAACCATTGCTTCGTAATCCATGGCGTTGAGTAAAATCAACGTACGTTTTTTTCATTTAATTCACCGTAAAAAAACTCCTCTGCTTGAGGATTTTTGTCTTAGTCTGCAAAGGAATTTAAGTGATATGGAAATTTGACTGTTAAAAAATAGTGACTACAGTCTTCCACACTTCTCATGTGGCAGTGCAGCCCTCATGCATTGGCATCACAGACTCCATTTCAAGGGAAGCTTTAACCACAGATGTTGATGGGCTTTCCATTGAACAAAATGTGGATTTTTTTTTAATATAGAGAACTTCCATGCTTTAGTTTGCTTTAGTTTGCACAGTGCAACCTGGGCTGTCTAATAAGAAAGCCTAGCACTAGCTCTACACTTTAACTGTTACAGCAAGCTGAGGATCTAGGGGACTGCATTTCTACATGGATAGGCGTAGGGTTTTGCCCCTCCCCTGAGTCATTCTGCTGAATCATTCAGCTGTAGATGTGACGTGAGATCCTGCTGTTCAGGTTTCTGTTTACTGTACAGCATTTATCCAGCTATCAGAGAACCAGACTCACAGTTGCCACTTGTTTTTGTGTGCACTATTATAAAACTATAATCTAAAAACATTTTAATATTTTCCTAAAAATTAATAAAGAAGAATTACATTCCTTTGAAACACAAAAAAAACTTCCTATTATTTAAGAAAGTGACCTATGTGGCTCTATCTAGAATCTGCAGTACTACACTGAGCAATGGTAAACACTAAGGCTCAATTCACACCTATATTTTAGGTGCGATTTAGGGATTCCTGCAGCATGAATCCCTAATCTGCCGTTTACAAGTGGCAGCTGTCACCCGTTCAAGATAACGATCGGGTGACAGCCGCTGCATTTGAACGCCGGCACACTGCATGTGATCGTATATGATACAATTGTCTGTCGGTTAGGAATCATTCACTCTACCTGGACGCACTGTTGATGTCACAGTCACTGATATGAGTATATTACATGAGAAATGGCAAAGTGTCATTTGCAGTAGAATAGTTTCTCATACTGCACAGTTCCAACTTGGTTATAAAGAGAATGGTAAATTGTTGCACTTTTCTTCTCTTTTGTGTAGAGAGAAAGAAGAAGCACATCAGCTGCACCAGGAAGCCTGGGAGCGTCACCTGGCCAGGAAAGAGCTTCGCAGCAAGAATCAAAACGCTCCTGAACAACGACCTGAAGAACACTTCTTTAGCAAACTGGACTCCAGCCTCAAGAAAAACACTGCCTTTGTGAAGAAGCTTAAGACCATTACTGAGCAGCAAAGAGATGCGTTATCTCATGATTTCAATGGCCTTAACCTAAGCAAATACATAGCGGAAGCCGCCGCTTCCGTAGTTGAAGCGAAGCTTAAAATTTCTGACGTTAACTGTGCAGTCCATTTGTGTTCTCTGTTTCACCAGCGGTATGCAGATTTTGCTCAGTCTCTCCTTCAGGTATGGAAGAAGCATTTTGAGGCTCGGAAAGAAGATAAAACGCCCAATATAACTAAACTTCGAACAGATTTGCGCTTCATTGCCGAGTTAACGATTATTGGGATCTTCACGGACAAAGAAGGCCTCTCTTTAATCTACGAGCAGCTGAAGAATATCATTAATGCCGATCGGGAGTCTCATACTCATGTGTCAGTAGTCATCAGTTTCTGCCGTCACTGCGGTGATGATATCGCAGGCTTAGTTCCCAGAAAAGTTAAGCATGCATCTGAGAAATTTGGTCTGAACTTTCCCCCAAGTGAGATCATAACCCCAGAGAAACAACAGCCTTTCCAGAATGTGTTGAAGGAATACTTCACTTCCCTGACAAAGCATCTAAAAAGGGACCACCGAGAGCTGCAAAACATAGAGCGCCAGAACAGGTGAGTTGGGAAGTGCCATAGTGGCTTTTCTGTATATTCTCTATGTACATGTTGCCTTCACCTTTTGTCCGTGTCACTCAACCCAGAAAATTGAGGACTTAACTGTGAGTGCAGGGTGTCATGATCCTGTCCCCCTAATGAGGTATCACCAAGGCACACTGTATTCACTGTGTAATAATTATTACATCAGTGCCGCTGTCTGCATGATTGAGGAACACCTACCCCGGAGAAGAGGACCAAACGCTGTCACCTGACCAGCCTGAAGACTACAGAAAAGGTAAGTAAAATAAATGGTGCAAACGCCAGGGCTGTCATCCATCACAGACCTAGAGCAAGGACTTCCATCAGGTGTCCACATGTTTGAAAACAAATAAGCAGTGGCAGCCCCATATTTCTATCCTCACAGGTTCGCTTTAACAGGTTTTGATTCTTTGTATTTGAGCATGATATCTGTTATTTTGATTTTTGTCTCATTTTGAAAGGGTGTTCAAAGTAAGTTTAAAAAAATGGCTAAACTTGTGCTTTGTAAACATATTGGAGAATCAATTACCTCTAAACAAAATGCTTATCTTCAGTAATAATTATTATATGCTGGGATTTCATGGAATGGGACAGTTCGGTTTTGAATAGGTTACATTTAAACTGAAGGGAGGCAGTTTGGAGAGACAAAGTAGTTTAGTCAGCAGTGAAATAAGAGTTGATGTGCTCAAATGTACACACAGTTCACATGCCAATGGTATTTGAAATAATTCAAACTAGTAATGAATTTTCCACGAGTTGCAGTGTATAGCTTGATTAGATGTGCACAGTCTAGGGACTCCAGGGACATGACAGTTTTTGGAAGGTTGGGAAGGCTTAAACTGTCTATGTCATTGTTATTAATTGAGTGATCTCTGAATGAGAAGATTCATTGTAATAATGAGTAACAAAATGATCAAGTAGTATAAAGGTGCCCATACACTGCACGATTATCGTACGAGAATCACGGGAAATCCCGCGATCGCACGATAATGGCAAAGTGTATTGAAGGCGTGCGACCGTTTCTACTGTAAGGTCGCACGTCTTCTGTCGAACAAGCAAGCTGGAGAACCCGCCGATAATCGTACGATTCTCGGCATGTTAGTGGCCTGCTTCTTTGACAACTGCCAAACGGGCCGGTGTGCGCACGCGCACACTGCCGTTTGCGATTATCGCAAGTACGATCAGCCTGTCCAAGATGGGCAGATCGTACTTGCGATCATCGCAAACAGGCAGTGTTTGTGATGTTTGGAGAGAAGTCCAAGATGGGCAGATCGTACGTTTTTTAAATTACTTTACAACCCTCGCAAGACAAAAGTCTTGCGAGGGTTGTAAAGTGTATGGCCACCTTAAGTAAAGAGTATTTACCTTTTAACCTTAGCAGCTGACAAACGTGTGGTTACTTGAACCTAGCCGTTCACATTACATTCTAATTACACCGTTTGCTATATACACTTTATAAGAGCGCTTTTTAAAAGACGTAAATAGGGGTCATAGATGTACCAGCAACTATTATTAGACATTTTAATAATTATACTGTCTATGCCTTTTAGTTCTGAACATAAGTTGTTGGGTATATGGATAGAAATACATGAAGAGTTGTGTGTTTTTATATTGGAATAGGCGCATCCTTCATACCAAGGGGGAACTGAGTGAAGACAGACACAAGCAATATGAAGAATTTGCAACATCTTATCAGAAATTATTGTCGAATTCCCAGTCCCTCGCTGATCTCCTGGATGAAAATATGCCTGAGCTTCCTCAAGACAAGCCTGTAACAGAAGGTATATCCTGATAAATATTATGACCGTTCAGTAGGGGGATTATTTTGTCATACCTTGAATAACTTTGGAGCACATTATTTTATCAAGTGTTATAGATAACTAGATTGTTTTTTGGCTTAGTTGACAGGCATACTTTACAGCCTTGGTTCTCAACTGGTGGGGCGTGACCCAAAAGTGGGTCACGGCCCTGTGTCCAGCCGGTCACCACGTGCCTTCCACTTTTCTAGGTGTGAGGCTTTTCTGTCGGTTCTCGCTCCAAGCAGCCATAAATATGCTGCTCGGTGCTGAGTGTCAGCTTGAGGTAGAGTGGACTGGAGCTATGGCCACTACTAAGTTCCATCCATCCATACATGCATTGCTTACAGCTTCCTTGCATGTCCTGTAAGTGCCTGGACCGGAGTGATGTCATGTTCTGGAGTGTGTATGGTTGTGTGTGCCTGTCGGTGTTTTTGAGGGCCCGTTCACACTAATTCAGTGCATTAATCGAACAGTCCTGTGCGAGCAACGCACTGTACCATGCAATCACACCTACTACGTGTTCTGGTGTGGGGGGTGCCTTGTGTTGCCATTCATTTGCATGGCCCCCCAAACACACCTCCAGCCCACAGTTCAATTGCACGCACCGCTACACTTGGTACCGCGATGCTGTGCGTTTTATTGAACGGGGGAGGGGGCGGGTACAGCTGACTCTGCCTCTAGATAGGCAGAGCCAGTGGCCAATCGCACAACTGGGTGGATCTCGACAGTAATGTCAGGATCCGTCCCGGCTCCGGTGCTCTCAGCTGTAGCTCGCAATATACTGAGCTTTGGGTCACGGTAGGACGCTAGTTATGTCCTCCCGTGACCCTGAGGAGAACTATGGGGAAAAACACTTACCCCATAGTTTTCCTTTAATTGGATTGCTATCTCAATAACCAGTTGTATTTGCCATTGCCTCTTGCCAAGTACTCTCACAGAAAAAACACTTGCATCATTATTTTCTCTGCTAATGCAAACACATTTGTCATTCTTTTTATTTTGCTGCATTTCCTAACCTGGTTTTCTAATTTGGGTTGATTATTCTTTTGCAGAACACGGGCCCGGTATTGATATATTCACACCTGGAAAGCCTGGTGATTATGACTTAGAAGGAGGCATATGGGAAGATGAAGATGCTCGCAACTTCTATGAAAACATGATTGACCTTAAAGCATTTGTCCCTGCCATTCTGTTCAAGGACAATGAAAAAAGCGCTCAAGGCAAGGACCTTGGAAAAGATGAGTTAAAAGGTAACGTCCACTTTTTTTGTCTACTACTTGTATTTGTTTGGGGTCTAACTGTTGTTGAACAAATTTGTTTCTTCAGACTTTGCATGCACTAACTTAACTGTGATATACCAAGCTATTTAACCACCAAACGCATCCTATATAAACCTAAAACATGATCAAATACCTTTTTTCCCATAACGTCTTCCAGGACAGCATCACGAGATGGAATCTCCTCCCCCACACACAGGAAACACGTCACTTAATCTGCTTAAAAGACCCTCCTCTCCTCCACTCCCTCAGTCTTTTGTGTTTCCTCAGTCAAGCTGGGGAGCGCGTCACAGAACGCTGAGAGAGGGCTTCCATGTGGTGATGCTGCCCGGGAAGTCTTCCTTGTTGGCCTGCCTGTGTAAGGCAGAGGGGTAGGTTTGCCTACCTTGTGGAGCCCCAGGGATTCTCCTAGCGCTGCAGGAGATGAGGCTGGCTTCCTTTCCCCCTTCAGTGCCCAGTGCGGGCCGGTACCGGGAGGGCGAATTTTTAACTCCAAATCCCTGGCTCACTTACTGTTATAAACTTGCTTCATCACTTTCAGGATCTGTACTGTTCCAAAATCTCCTATGCCACCTACAAGATGCCAACTGAAGCACGCTCTAGTACAAGTGACCTCCAACCAATGTACCTGCTTACCTTATCTTATTTGGCAGTTGAGGCTTCATGTGGACCCTATGCATGTGCCATAAGGCGTTGCCTGGCTTCTGGCTCTGACCATCCCATCTTTTAGTTGTGTGCCATTTTTGTCAGCCCAGCTATGGTAGCGATACCGCATTTCTTTTATGATGGGCCAAAGGACAATTACAGTGGCAGAGGAGAAAGTGTTTAGGTTGGTGGAGTCTGTATTTCGGAGGATTTAAAAAAAGAAAAACAGCTAGAACAATTAATCTAGGACAGTGGTGGTGAACCTTGGCACTTCAGCTGTTTTGGAACTACAAGTCCCATAAGGCATTGCAAGGCTCTGACAGCCACAGACATATCTCCCAGAGGCAGATGCATGTTGGGATTTGTAGTTTTGGCACAGCTGGAGTGCCAAGGTTTGCCACCACTGACCTACGACATACTGGGGGGGTATTTATCAACACTGGAGCAGATTTGCACTGCAACCAATCAGCTTCTCCGTCTCATTTTCAAATCTTACCTGAGAAAACTGAAGAGATGCTGATTGCTTGCCATGGGCAACAGCTCCAGATTCTGTCTGCTCCAGTTTTGATGAATTCCCCCAACTGTATGTGGTGAATAGGCCCTATGTGCTTTAAAATGTTTTTGTTGACTTGGACTGTCTGGCTGGAACTGCAGCCCAATTGAAGCTGCTAGTTTGAGTCTCACAAATGCTAATTTTACAAAGACTTTAGCTTTTAGAATTTGATTTTGAGAGAGTCTCCTTTTTCTAACAAGGAGGGGGGAAAACTGGAAAAATGCATTTTAACACATTCTCCACCACTGCTGTTTAAAGTTGTTTGATTTTAGACTTCCATTTGAGAATACGTTTCTTCAGTCATTAACGACAACCAGTCAGTATGGTTATACAGTATGGTTATTCATTCACAAAAGAGGATCCCATTCTGTGTAGGGCTGCAGCTAACGATTATTTTCATAATCGATTAGTTGGCCGATTATTAAGTTCGATTAATCGGTTAATCGGATAATTAAAAAAAAAAGGCTCCAGTGATGGACTACTAGTTTCTATTGTGATTGTAGTCCTTCACGGGAGCAAGCTTGGCGCGGTGGAAGTAAAAAAAAAGTGTGGTGTGCAATATAGTACATTATACAGCGGCGCAATGCAGAATACCAGCAGCTATAGAGGAATGCAGCAATAGTACATTATACTATGTGGTGGTGGCTTCCATTGCCTGACTTTCTAGAAACATTACTTGCTCCAGGAGAAGTGTCTCCTCTGTAGCATTATATTCAGGGATGTGGCTGACCCCAGGAACTAACACTGCTTTTAGGAGTCGGACAGGGGACTCCTTGAGTGCTGGATGAGTTTTGATTGTACCAGCTAATAAACGTTCGCACAGGTTCCCTTTAAACCGATCTTGTTAAGATTTGCTGTTTACATGGATTCTGTGTTTTTGTCAGATTCCAAAGACTGTAAAGAGAGTGAAGTGCCTACAACAGAAGAATTAGAACTGGAATTGGAGGCTTTGGATATAAATGATGATCCCATGGAGCTAGAAGGTATAGAGGAAACTGAAGACTTAACTAAAAAACTCCTCGATGAACAAGGTAAGAATGTAGTAGGGTAGCCAAAATAAATTAAGATCAATGAACAAAACCATGGGGAATGGTACCTATGCCTGACTAAACAAAGATCTTCAAGTTGTGCTCCAACCACAATGTTTTATTTATCTTGAGTAGTGTGGAAGGTCCTGCAAGTGTTCACCCCCAACAGCATATGAGAGAACATTTTACTTGCCAAAAAAAAAAATCTATATCTGTCCATCTCTCTCTGTCCATCTCTCTCTGTCCATCTCTCTCTGTCCATCTCTCTCTGTCCATCTCTCTCTGTCCATCTCTCTCTGTCCATCTCTCTCTGTCCATCTCTCTCTGTCCATCTCTCTCTGTCCTCATTCACCTGTGACTTGCCCATGCAGGGCAAAGTAACAGGTTCAGTTTGGTGCAAAACTAGCTGCTTATACATGCCTTATTTTAACTCCCTTTTCCCTTTTATTCTACCTTTTTTAGAAGTGAAAACAGGAAGCTTTGTGTATGTTGTAACTGTATAAGCTCCTGAGAGCTGAGGTGGCAGGTTTGATTGGCCATTAAAAACCATTTAATGTAGACTGGTGTGGTTGGTGCACTGCTGTGGGCTTCTAGTTCCACAGATTAATGTTCCTCCAGCACAGGTCTGAGATACTTAATGTAAGCATTGGAGAGCAGGTTAAAGGTTTCAGACAGAGGGTTCAAACTTTTGTTTACCTTTTTTTTCCTTTTTGTTAATACTGCAACAGAGCAAGAAGATGAAGAAGCAAGCACTGGCTCTCACTTGAAGCTCATAGTGGATGCATTTATACAGCAGTTGCCTAACTGTGTCAATCGGGATCTGATAGATAAGGTAATTTTTGAAGGACTGTTTTTTTTTTAGGTTATTCTTGCTTTAAATTATGTTGTATGTTTCATATCTTTTAAGAGTTTCATCAGTTTCATAATGAATCCTTTGTGTTGTTAGGACTATTTTTAGAACATTTGGTTGCAATTTGATTCACAGAGACCAGAGCTTTTTTTTTTTTTTTTTTCTCATCTGTCTTTTCCGCAACTTCTGAAATGAAAACCTTTGCCCACTTCATAGGAACACATTCTGCTGCCACATCAACATATCTATAGGTCTCCAGCATAGTTTTGTATTGACATTGTGGGCACTGCTGTCTTGCATGCATGTGAGAGATAGTTGTCCGCTGTCAATCACCGCTTTGCTTGCTGGAATTCTCACCCCGGTGCTGTTATTGCTGAAGCTGATCAATGCTTTCCTGTGACAGCCTTAATTAACAAAGGCTCTCAAGGAGTTCACAAGATTAGCAGGAAACTGGTTGCAGCACCACTAAGGGCAGGGAGGGAACAGTGTTGGCAAAGTTGCTTGAGAGTATGACTTGTATAACTCGAGTCTTTCTGGCCATGATATTGAGAATTAATTGTTTCACAGTGCCCGTAGCTACAGAAGTCAAGAAGGACCTGTTTTGAATATGATTTTATGCTTGTTAAGCATGATTAAATATTTGTCAGTTTCACTTCGAGAGGCACTCAGACAGTTAGGCTTAGAAGTTGTCATTGGAACAAGTGTCACCATTGGAAGATTTACCCGCTATTCCTGTTTTGGTGGCAACTAAAAATTTGGCTTTACCCTCACTTTTCATTCTCCATGACATATGTGATCAGGACAATTGGGGTGAGTGAATCTCCTCACCTGAGACAGAGACAGCAATATAAACTTGATCGGTGTAATAACTCCCCACCACTCCATCCAAACCTAAAAAACAAAGTTTAGTTATACTTTCACATGTGTGGCTGAATATTGGAATGCAAAATATTCAGATATACAGGACTAAAAAAAAAAATGTGAATTGTATTATTTATTCCTCACTGTAAAAAAATCACTATACATTAATACATATAATACATTGTTATAAAATGTACAGTATGGACTTTTTAGTAGAAAAATCCTTATTGATTGTGTATAACAATAGATTTGCGTGTGTGCGTGCGGGTATATCTTCACATGGGTAATTGGTTCAGTGAGTACTTACAAAGACTGACAAGTTGGTGCTAGGAATGTGCAGAATGCTGCGTGTTTCACCATTTTTTTTTTCTGGTGTTGGCAATCCTTGATCTGGTTTTCCCCACTCTGTTTTGTTCTTGGTGAAAAAGGAAAAAAAACGTCCTCTTTGGGCAGGCCAAGAGCGTTAGACATGGGATCACTGATATGATGTATGGAGAATTTCTCATTCTAGTAAATGGCATGAAACTGGGATGCATAAAACAATGAGTACTTTAGATTGAAACATTCTTTATCTTTTTTAAAACTGATTATTCGAACTACTTTAAGTCAACCTGTCATCCATTTTGAATATCTAAAGCTAAAGATGTAGCCTGATTGCAGGCTCCACTGGGTGCCTGCTTTTCTATTGGTAATCCAAAAAGTCTTTTAGTGCGCTGTCTGTGATTTGTTGGCTATTGATGACTTAACGGTCTCAATTTTAGGCCTACCCTTCTCCACCCACTGTCCCCCATGTCCATTGAGAGTGCCCTTATTGATCTGCAATGCTCTCTTACTGGACAAGGGTTGGCAGGTAGGTGGGGCCTTGTGTTTCACTAAAATTGCACCTGCTGTTAACACAAATGGAAGGTGTACTAAGGGGAAACCCTCGCTCACAACAGTCTACTACACAAGTAGCTGCCTCAGAAGTGTCCTGAGGGACACTGAATTTTTTTTTCTTAATTCTAAAAATCCCTCTAGGGCAGGGGTAGGCAACCTG